CCTGAAAGAATACATGAAAGTAATCAATTTGATGGCATGTTTGTATTAATTACATGATAAGAAAACAAATATTTTTCATAAATATTATTTGATGGTAAACAACAATTAAAAGCAATTGCAATTACCAAAATGACATTATTCACATGTAGATTGCCGTACAGCTTTTTGTTTGTTATGTATCCATGTTTTTATTTGCGGTGATGTCCGGTGAAACAAACAACTATATTTTTTTTTCTTTTCTTGAATTTCTCGTAAAGACGGTAGCGTTAACTTTTCCATATGTTTGGCAAATGCTTGAAGGACAGTTTCTTTTTCTTTTTCTGTCCAGCGCTGCCTCTTGGTTTTGCCATAAGGAGATGCTAGAAGAAGAAACATATATTACTAAAATAGCGCATACATATTGAAATTGATAAATGATGAACCACAACAGTAAATATGAATTAAACAAAACATTAAAATATAAAAATAAAATTTTATACTTTTTTAGCTTTATATTTTATTCAAAATATAGTAGTCATAAAAGAAAATAGTAAAAACAATATTTTTTAGTTTTACATTTTATTAAAAATGTAGTAAGATCATAAAAGAAAATAATAAAAGAACAGATATTTTTTTATGCTAAAAATCTCGACAATATTAATCTTTTACTAAATGATTTCTTTCTTCAGTACTTATTACTTTTACAAAACAATCTTGAAGTAGCACTTTATGCTTTATGCTTTTGTCTCATTATTCTGTACATAAAAGTATTACGGTAAGATTATCGAAAACTAGATATTTCACGAGATATTTTATTTTTTATATCAAAATATGTCAGATTAAAATATAAAATAACTCAAAAAGCACTTAATGAAAAAATACTTTATTATAGCGTTTTGGAAATCTCTCGAGGTAAGCTATAAGAATATGTAATAAAAAATGGGGAGATCCATTTAAGAAAACATCGACCACATTGACCTCACCTTGAAAAGACCACTTAAGGTCAAATCCATATTTTTATCATGTGGCCCCCTCGAAACCATGCAACTTTTGTCTGAAACATTTTTTGATATCTCACTTCGTTTCCGAAAAATATGCCCGCGTCACTATAAATGCTGCACCCTGTATATATACTATATATAGATATGGTAGTTTTAATTTTTCACACATAGATGTAATATTTGTAATATATAGCTTATGTTACATTGTAGTTACATTGTAATTATATCCCAAATAGCATATTGACTCATCGATATTGTAGGAGATGGAAATTAATCAAATTTCCTCAGCATTCTATAATTTCAAGATATCACTGTGCTATCTGGAATATAATTACAGAATAACAATAATGTAACATATATATGTTATATTACAAATATGTTACATTTATGAGTGAGAAATTACTACTAACATATACGTAACATAATACATGTTAGAACGTTATATATCTGTTGGATATAAATATTCGAATATTGAATAAGTAATTTATATTATTTCCATTTATTGTGTTGAATTTATTTATTAAATTAATATGTTTTTATTTGATTTTTTAATCAAGATTGATTTATTAATGTTTAAAGAAAATAGACTTTTATGTATAAAAATAAAATAAGAAGTTATCTCTAAAAAAATCGAATTTATCTGATGCAATCATTTGTATTAATAATGTTATTTAACATTTCTCAATGATAAATTATATATATATATATGTAACAGTGCACCCCCCATTCTGACACATTGTTACCCGGCAGTAGACCGCCGGAAGTCTGCCGCCCGGCGAACATCGGCCGGGCAGGGGCAGAACAATAAGTATAAAATAAATTTAAAAACCTTATGTATTCATAATATAATTTTTATTATAATTATTAAATTTATTAACAGATGCCGAAAACTTTTCGAGAATTATGTGCGCGGCAAATAAATCGGCGCCTTCAAGTTTATCAAAGACAATCAGAGCAGCAATCAATTATATATCATGTCCATAGACCTACAGTCAGTACAAGAGTCAATTTAGAGACTCAAGAGTCGATAGCCGATATGAATGTACCTATACAACAGTGCATCTTACTTAATGATTCAAATTTAGATAATGATAGATTTACTGAACTTTCTACCGATGTTCCGATTGTAGACGTTCATTTAATTGTTGAACCGGAAAATAGAGAGAATACCGGGGAAAACACTTCTGAATCTCTACAATTTTCGAATTGGTTACGTTCTTGGAAATTAAAACATAATATTACTCATGCTGCTATGTCAGAACTGTTAAATAAATTACGTACATGTGGTCACAGCGATCTACCAAAAGATGCAAGAACACTGTTAAATACACCGAGAAATAGTATTGTAGAAATATGGGCAGATAATAGAAGTTTTTTTCATTATGGTTTGGAAAAAGCAATAATTGAACAATTGACACGTACAAAGTTCACAGTGGAAAACGAAGTTATTATGATAGATGTGAATATTGATGGACTGCCAATATCAAAAAGCAGTAAAAGCCAAATTTGGCCAATATTAGGCAAAATTTTTGATAACAAGGCATTACAAGTGTTTACACCATTTGTTATTAGTGCTTATCATGGGTACTCGAAACCACCTTCTATAGATGACTTTTTGACTCCTTTTTGCCAAGAATATAATATTCTTCGGACTACAGGACTTATTTTCGGTGAGAAACGATACACTGTACAAATAAGAAGTGTAATTTGCGATAGTCCTGCAAGAGCATTTGTAACTTGCACAAAGTCACACAATGGATTCTTTGGTTGTGGAAAGTGTATGCAAGAAGGCACTTATCTTAATCATCATATGTTATTTTTGGAATCTAATGCACCTCTTCGGACTGATGAGAATTTCAAAAATAGAACACAAGAAGATCATCATACTGGTGTATCTCCTTTTGAATCAATTATACAGCTGTCAATGGTTTTACGATTCCCTTTAGATTACATGCATTTAATATGCCTCGGAGTTACGAAGAAACTGTTGCAATTATGGATAAATGGATATCAGACATCAAGATTAAGTGGACGAAAAATAGCACAGTTGTCCGAAAAGTTAATTGCAATGTCGAAGTGGGTACCTAAAGAGTTTGCTCGAAAACCACGTTCTGTACATGAATTGACTCGTTGGAAAGCAACAGAATTCCGACAATTTTTACTGTAGCTTGGATCAGTCGTCCTAGTAAATATTTTGTCTAAAGACAATTTATTGCATTTTGATGCAATAAATTGTGCAATACGAATATTGTGCCACCCAATAGATTGCTTCCGAAACAATGAATATAGTAGAGATCTATTGTTTCAATTTGTTGAAATATTTAAACAGTTGTATGGCAACGATAATATCATTTACAATGTGCATAATTTATTTCATATAAATGAAGAAGTACTAATGTTTGGACCACTAGATAATTTTTCTGCCTTTCTTTTTGAAAATTACATGATGTCAATAAAAAAAATGCTAAGAAAAGCCGAAAAACTATTACAGCAATTTGTTGTGCCTCTAGCCGCTAAGGAAGAGGTCTTTAGGGATTTATACGCCCAAAGGATTAGGATCCACGCTCGACATAAGACACATCGGTCGGGTTACGACAAATTATACAAAAGAATTTCGGAAAATTATGTTTTTCAATCTACTGAGAACAAATCTAATATTCCTATATTGAAAAAGAAATGTTCGAAAGTTCTTCCTATGAATTGTGTCAATGCTTATTGTATGACTGAATTTAACGATTTTACGTTGACAAACAAGAAGCCTAATAACTGTTGTTATCTCAAAGATAAAACCATTGTTATTATAGAATATATTTGTTATAACGAAGAAGGTACAGCTGTCATTATTGGGAAAAAATTCTTAACAAAAAATTCGCTGCCATATTATCCTTGTGAGTCACAGGATATGGACATATATGTAGTTAAAAATTTATCAACTCTAATAATGTGCCCAATAACAGAAATCATGAATAAAGCTGTTCAACTTCCGTTTGAAGATGGAATATCATGGTGTTGTATGCCGTTATTACACTCATTGTAAAAAAAAGCACTGCTCTAACCGAGTATGTTATATATGTTGCTGAAAAAAGGTTATTACTACTTTTGTATATCAATACAATTTTGGAACTTAATAACTGCATGCATGTTTGCTTGCAAACTGCAGTAGAGATGCTAATTCTGTTTTTTTCTTGATACATATAACTTAATAATAAACAATAATTTTAGTGTTATATAAATTGTAAACGTTATAATTTTTATCTCAAAATTAATTATATTACAAATTCTAATAATCGCGGGCTAGTAAGAGCCAGAACGCGGATGGCAGTGCGTCAGTTTTACTGTATAACAATACCAAAAATATGAATAAATTTTACACTAGTCACATTTAAAATGCCCAAGAAAAGTAAACAACTCACGCGAGCTTGTATCAAACAGTCGTCGCCATGTGATGATTGGGATGAATTTACTTTTCATAAGAGCTTTGGTCCTTATGGTTGGTTTTACATATGTATATATATCTTATATTAAAATATGAAATAGAATTTATATTTATTCATATATGTGTAAACATGTTACAGAAACATACCAAAATGCACGAGCTGTCGAAAAAGCAGTAGGTGAAATGTCTGCATCGGATGAAAATATTAATATAGAAGCGCAACAAATAGAAGATGCTTCATCGAATAAGAAATTTATTAAAAAAAAGAAATTCTATGGTGATACATCAAGTGAAGGTATTTATATAAGATAAATTTCTATCAGAAATATTTAGGACAAACTATTAGAAAGTTTATATATTCACAATAAACAATATAACAATTTTGGACATTTTTAGATGAACCAAAAAAGAAAACTACGAAGAAATTTAAAATGCCCTCGAATTATATTTCACACGACTGTGTATCTGAAGTAAGCCAGCCACATAGTAAATCATTAACGATTACTAAGCCTGTAACGGGTGTACTTTTTATGAGCTCGCGGATTTGCTCGGTCGTGTGATGGATGCTATATTATTAATTGCGATGGATGATGGTTTAAATTTAAACGATATAATAGATAATGTGGTACAAGATTTAGGCCATCAAGTGCCATATAACCTGGAAAATAGAAGGCGAAATGCAAGGCCACGAAACGAAGATTACTTCGAAGTAACAATTCCTCGATATACCGATGTACAGTTTATTGAACACTGTAGAATGTCACGATATACATTTGAGGTATGTACACGCACACACGCACGCACGCACTATATATATATATATATATATATATATATATATATATATATATATATATATATATATATATATATATATATATATATATATATATATATATATATATATATATATATATATATATATATATATATATATATATATATATATATATATATATATATATATATATATATATATATATATATATATATATATATATATATATATATATATATATATATATATATATATATATATATATATATATTATTTATTAATATTTTTCAACGTTCGTAAAGTGATATTTTTTCAATGGAATTATTAATGGAATTATAGGAATTGCTGAATAATGTTGCTCCTTTTATAAATATGCAGCAAAATGTTAACATTAATATTACTAAAAAATTAATGTTTACCATCTGGGTGTTAGCAAAGCCAGAGAGTTTTTTAGCTGCCAGTGACAGATTTGGTTTGCCGAAGAGCACAGGGCATAAAATATTTAGAAACATTACACATTCTCTGGTACAATTAATGCCTCAGTACATAAAATGGCCAAATGCAGCACAAAAGCAATTATCTTGTAATGTATGTTTCTTAATTAAATGCTTCTGTGTACATGTGTATGTTAATGCAATTGATTAAAATTGTTATTTTTTAAGATATTATTCCTAAATTCTAGATATTTGAGGCTCGATCACGTGGATTCCCGGGAGTAATTGGTGCTATAGATGGTTGTCACATTCCTTGCAAACAACCGATAGGGAATGCAAATGATTTTTATAATAGAAAAAGTTTCCATTCAATTATATTACAAGGTAAATTTTGTATATATACAAATAACTTTTGACTTTAATATTTTAAATGCAATATTTTAAAATTAAAAAATGTTAATATTTATTATAGGGGTATGCGACCATAGAGGATTATTTATTGATTGTTTCATTGGTATGCCGGGTCGCATGCATGATGCACGAGTATTTCGAAATAGTCCGTTATTTCACCAAATATCAAATGCAGAAAGACCTCTAATTCCAGAGAATATGCACTTAATAGGAGATTCTGCATACCCTTTATTATATAATGTAATGACACCAGTTAGAGATAATGGGCATTTAACATTTTCTCAAAGAGTATACAATACAAAATTAAGTTCCATAAGATCGATTATTGAAAGGGCATTTGGATTATTAAAAAATAAATTTAGAAGGTTAAAATATTTAGATATTTCGGATTTTAATTTGGGAAATGATATGATAGCAGCAGCATGCGTATTGCATAATTTTATAATAATTCATGATGGCATAAATGTGGAAGAGGAAGATGATTTTTTTAACGAAGCAAATATAGAAATTGATGATATTGTACATGAGGAAGGTTTGCAAGCTGTACAAAAACGTACACAAATTATAGAATTATTTTAAATACATATATATTTAATACATAAATGTACATATGTATTGTACAAAATAAATATGTTTTATTAAAATATAAACCAAATACATGTTCATATATATTTCCTTGAAACATGTATGTAACTTTATATATATATTTTATATATAAAATAATTTAATATATATATATTTTATATATGAAACAACAGAACATTTTATATCTCTTAGTTTTCTTTGCATATATTATTATATTTCTATACTTGAACACAAGTGTTTACTGTTTTGCGTGCGATACTAAATTCCGCAAAATATCATTTCTTTCACGTTGTATTTTATTATGTTCTTCTATAGTCTCAGTTAATTTATTTATCGCTTCCACTCTTTTTTCTTCACAGTCTAATAATTTTTTTCGTAAATCGTACATAACTTTTGATTTGGCAGCTTTTTGTGTTTTAGTCTTCATGTTATCCTGGCTCGATGTATCATTACTCGTACTATCGTAACATACTAACTGCTGCCTAAGAATTGTACTTTTAATAGAGTATTTCTTTTTACCATAATCATAGTTAACTGTACCAAAATTTAATCGCGCACAATTTTGAAGCCAATCAAAAACATATAAATTACCTTGCACAAACGTTTTTACACACCTGTTTGACTGTTCGTTTTCTGTGATTTGTTCAGCAAATTCCATTTCTGAGCAAGCAGAACTTATATTTTGATCTCCGCAAGTCGACGTAGATGGGGTCAAACTGTTATGTTCCTCATTAACTGCGTTGTTATTTATTGCCATAGAAGATATTGTTGGACCTATGTGTACAGTACGATCTTCTCTATATATTTCTTCCATGAGGTCGTACCATTCCCAATTAATACGTCCACGACCAGTACTCGTTTTTTTATTATTGTCTAAAATATTCCTATAAGATTTTTTTAAGTTTCGCATCTTGCGGTCCAGAGTGTCTTCGTTAACAATATAATTATTTTTTTCGAATTCATCAACAATTTCTGTCCATAAGAGCTTTTTTTAATTTTTGGATCACGAAATTTAGTTTTTCTTTCATGATACTTTTCTAAAAGAAGCTTGGTACTTTGCCTCGTCCAACTGAATGATTCTATTATGGGATCTGCACCATAAAAATATTTTATTTCGTATATATAATTAAAATATGTGTGTGTAAATCGTTATGAGTATATGGTATATACATACCATTATTTTCTTTCTCCATCACACCTACTACTTCACTTGAAGTTATATTGGTGGCGAAATATTTATTAAAAAATTCGGGATCTGTGAATAACCAAATATTATATATATATAATTTATAAATTATTGTACGTATGTGCAGGAATTTATACATACACATAAAAATAAGAATATGAATATTCACTTAAAATATTTAAAATAGCATTACATTTTTATATAGACATATATTACATGAATATATCTTATGTGTAAAATAGATTAAAATTATATACAGATATATATTTTTATAATTTTACATACCATTTTGTAGTTTGTCATGTATATCGCTTGTTGCAGTGATGCAATAGGTCATATTATTATAATTATAATACATTTCCATTTCTTGTTGCATTGTGTCAGGGTTATGTTTCTCTGGATTTACAACGTGTTGTACGATTGTAGCGTACTTTTAATATGATGGATAAAATGGCGACCGCTCAGCAAACATGTTGTAAGAGCGTAAGCCGCTATGTGGCGTTCAGCAGAAAATCTTACAACAGTTGCGTCGCTACTTTCTCTGCTGAACGCGACCAATGAGATGCGGTGTAGTATACGCACCGCGGATATAAACACGCCAGGTAGGCGGCGCGGGGCGCGTGGTCGGTTTGTTGTGACGGCGCGTGGTTCACAAAAACGCGTGAGTGGCAGACTTCCGGCGGTCTACTGCCGGGTAACAATGTGTCAGAATGGGGGGTGCATTGTTACAAGCCAGGTTTGTCATTTATATATATACAGGCTGCTTTCACGTAAATACAACATATCAATAACATATAATAAAAAATAAATAACATATAAATACCAAAAATAAATAACATAACAGATGTTCTCTTTTAATTTATGTTGGTACACATTTAGCGAACAAACAAAAAACGCAAACGTTCGGACTATCGCGTTTGTGTTTGTATTGATTGTTAGTTTTTTTTGGTTGCACTGAACATGATAATTTCTAGTTATTAACGTTATCATTTTCAGTGCAATCGAGGAAAAACAATATTAACAACCTAATATGAACACGAACGCGAATGTCCGAATGTTTGCATTCGCTGTTTGTTCGCTAAGTGTATATGTACCTATATAAAAAATATATATATATAATATTATTTATACATATATTATAGCATGTGCAGCCATAAAATTAAACGACTCGGCTTCAAAGAATTCTGACAAAACCTCAGAAGACTTTAAATCCGACGATTTAAATGCAGCATCGGAAGATACAAATTCAGATTTTTCTTACAAAAATTCTTCTGATGAAGATGAAGGAACGCAGAGCTACAAAAACACAGGTATTACACTGATTGATATTTTTTGATTGAAAAAAAACTATATAAAAATAAATATAGACATATTTTTTACTTCTAAGTAAAAATACAATTATTTTTTGAAATATAAAAACTTTAATTTTTAATATCGTTTTTCATAAAAATGGAAAAACTTGAAATTATATATTTTGTCATTTTTATGTAAATATTAGTTAATGACAATGAAAACAATATATTTTCTGTACAGAAATTTCAACAGCTCAGCCAGCAGTATTAGCAGATGTGAGTCTTGTCACAAGCAATTCGACGCACGAAATGCGTCGCACACATGGATCAAACGTATTATTAGATAAAAACAATAGAAGAAAAGAAAATGTGGAACAATTCGAACATTTGGAGCACATATGTTGCGGTAAATTTTTTTTTACTAATAAAATACATAATACATTTAATGCAGAACAAAAACGATTATTATGAATAATATAATTGCAATACGAGCCAGACGCGGATATGCGTCAATTAACGAAAATGATTTTTTCGCTAATTGACGCATGAATATCCGCGACTAGCTCGTAATGCTGAATTTATCTCAATAATTTGAGCTTAAATATCAACGAGCGATTTGCAAACCATATTAATAATTATAATAGTTTAATTGAATTATTTTAATTGCTTATTTTAATGTTTCTTTTTTTTTTGTTTAGAAAAATGTCGACGAGGAAAATTTGCAAAATTTGCAACATTTGAACATAAACTAAACCGGATTATTCATTTATTGGAAAATGATAAAACTGGACAAAATAATACAGTACAGGAAATCGATTTGTCCCAATTACCGAATTTTCCCCTCACCACCGTAGAGCAAATAGAGACGTTTAATAAAAAATTGGAGCATGCTGATGTTCGTCGACAATTTGTAAGTATCTTGTTATTTCCAAAATATTTACACGAATAATTGTAAATGAAACGTTAAGATTCAAAATTTGCTTTATCCATTATAAACAATTTTATATTTCATTTAATAATTGAGTGTAATTAAAATAAACTAATTTTATATAATATTATTTTCAACGTTTTAATTAACTAATGTTAATTTAGTCAATTTTTTATAATTAATATAGTAGTTTAATTAAAGCTATCAAATAATATATGTATAATAACATATAAAATACATTATTTGTTATAGATTCAAAAAATGTCACAAATAGGAGAAACCGTAGCCAAAACTGTGAGAAATATTATGTCGCAAACTATTGGCTACGAAGTTGCGCAGTCGTATACGTGGACAGGACAAAACAAAAAGTTATCCCTAAAAAAATCAAAATTATCTGAAGCAATTATTGGTATATAATATCAATTGGTTAATAATATCAATATATTAATGTGTTAACGTTTCTCAATAACGAATAATATACATTAAGAATACAGGGTCGTCCTCGTAACGGTCGCCACGATTTTTAAGGCACTTACAATAATCTGACATAAAAAAGTCATAAACAGAAATTTATCAGTTTCTAACCGGCAACAAA